AAGAGCTCCAGAAAACTAATAAGAATTCAGATGGTGCTAATTACTGCTGCAACTATTAAAGTCATAATTTTGTCTTATGTTACCTTGAATGCTTAAGTGCTCACAAGAACTCTTATAATCTTCATTTAACACATGCAGCAGGGAGGCTCTAAGAGGCTGGGTTGCTTGCCCAGGGTCCCACCATGGAAGAAGCTTCTGGATGTCAGAGCCTGAATCCTTGTGCAATCTCCAGAGGAAATCCAGAAGAACCCATTTGGCCAACCGTACTCATCAGCAAGGAGAGGCCATTACACCAGAACAAATAAACAGCACTCATGGGACAATGTACAGGGATCCGATTGTCAAAGAATGAGGCAAAATCCAAATTTGAAATGTGATAGACACTAGCTAAAGTAATGAGGATGGAGAATCATGGATTACAAACAAAATATTATTTTGATAAAAAATTTAAAGTCAGATTTGTGACTATGAAGATTAAGTGTATGTATGTATGTATGTATGTATTTATTTATTTAGGTGGTAGGGATCGAATACGGGTCCTTGCATTTTTGAGGCAGGCAGCAGAACCACTGAGCTAGATCCCCAGCCCCAAGGAAGTGTATTTAATAAAAGCTAATGCAGATGAGGGCCTGTTATGTGGAGAGAACATGAACAGCTCTCCAGCACCCTCCCCCAAAGTCCAACAGGCACAGAGGGAATGAATTGTAGGCTTCTTTTACAGAGAATCTGGGAAAGAATCCCAGGTCTGCATAGGTTTACTGAAAGGGGAGAGGGAGGCGCTATGTAGCTGTCAAGCTCAGAGTGAGAAGTTTGTGTCAGAAGTGGGCTGGTGAGAGGTCACAGCAGAGGCTGCCAAGGGGATGTGAGCAGAACTGGACATCCCAATGGTGACTAAAGGACCAAGGGAAAAGGGACAGAGTCAGGGCCCCACTGACATCCTAAGTTCCAGGACCCTGTGTGCTTCCATCTTGTTAGATGTCAAGCCCAAGGTGAGATAATATCTAACCTCAAGATTTCTATAAAGATAAAGATTTGATGCCAAATAGGAGGGCACAGTAGCAAACACATAACTAGTCCCCAAAGTGTGCAAGTGGAAGATGAGTTACAACTAAATGTGAATAACACTTTGAAGGGTAAAACACATCAAACTCACACAGTGATGCTATTACAACAGTGGCTCTGTTTAGCAGCCAGAATTCATAAGAAACCATGTCTATTCCACAAAGATTTCTTAAATAAACTTCTGAACATGATAAATGAAAAGTATGCAGATGCTCATTTTTCTTTTTAAGGCCATAACACACTTTCAAGTAAATGAATATATGATGGAAAAGAAATATGCTAAGATATTATAACTGATGCTCATCTCTTTCATCTGTATGATTGTTTCATCTGTTAATGTCATTATTCTTATGGATACCCATTAATTCTTCAGTGACAGTAAGTGGTTATGTAAATGCCAGCTTTACATGAACCAAGGAGAACAGTCAGCTAGGTCCTGGGCTCCATCCATTTATGCAGTTCTCACCAAATCTGGTCATTTTAGGATTGTGTGGCTTTCACACTATCCATAAAAGCAACATTGAGGTCACCATCATGGTCTGATGTAGAACTTTAGAGTTTACAAAGTATGAAGCTGTCACATATAATATCCTCTCATTTTCTAATGGAAGACAAGGAGAATGAGTTTGAGACTAGATCCAGGTGAGCTAAATGGAAGCAGAAGATGTTGTGTCCTACAGATCTAACACTGCTTTTGAGATGGGGCCCACAATCAACCAAAGAATAATAAAGACAATCAACCAAGGTGCTGACTCAAGTGCTGGCCCTGTAACACACCAGGACAAAGTGAGATTTTAAAAGTCATGGCAGTGAGTATACAGAATGTACCTCCTGAGGTTAGAAGCACATGGTACATAAGTTAAGACACAGAAGTACCAAGTTATAATGTGGATTCATGACATGTTGCATCTGATGATAGTCAAAGGCCCTGCATGCCAAGGAGTTCAGGAGACAGAATCTACCAGCTGCCACAGAGTCCAAGACTTTGCCCTTCCTTTGCTGTTACTGGACCAGGCTCTGCAGCTCTGCATATCATGGAGAGAAAGTAGCCAGAGCCCCAGGGCAGCTCCCAGCAGGGGCCTTCATCTCATGTACACATTTCATTTGTGCCAGGGAAGAATTTCAGGTAGGTTTTTTCTCTAGCCTTGCTCCACCTCCTGGCATCCCCGCATATTCTGTAGAATTCAGCCCTTGCTTGTATGAAAAGAAACTCCAAGGCTAACATGTAGTCAGCTCCCAGCCTCAGGGCTGTGATAGAGAGAGGGAGGGAAGTAAATGAACAGTCTTAGGGGTAAGCCCTACTTCCTGCTTGTGTTGCTAGACCATCCTAAGCAGCAGTCCCTCATGCTGTTGGCCCTATAAGTCCCTGGGCTCACACCCATGAGCATGGCTGCTTTCTGCCTTACCTCCTTTGGGCACTCTCTGCTGGACCTCCTCATTTGCTTTCCACTGGGCCAACTGGAACCATCCCTCATGTTTCAGCTGTGGCACCTCTGCCCTGAGGAAGCCTCCCTGCTCCCTTCTCCTGGTTCTTGCTGCTCTGTTGTCTCACAGCACCTAAGCAACTCCCATCCTGGGCTCTACCATAGAGAATAGAATTGGCTTGTCCCTAAATCTCTTACAGGCAGGAGACAGAGTATTTTTATCACTATGACCTAGCTCCTGGCGGGGACTGAAGGCATACTCAGCCTACAATGAGTAATTTGTTGGGTAATGAGCAGGAAACCAATTAATTTCTTGTGGTCAAAACCAATTTAATTCCCTGGTGACAAGAATTCAATTTGGAGAGCTAAATAATAGAACTAAAATTTTCTTTCTTTCTTTTTTTCTGGTATGAGACCTTCATAAATATTTACGCAGGATCTAAATATGAGGCTACATAGCAATCTTGATTTTTGTCCAACTCTATACACATAGTAGAACTTTAAACTTTGTAAATTTTTCTTAAAAGAAGTTAAAAAGATCGAGAAGTTAAAAAAATTAAGAAGTTAAAAAGATCGACTCTAGTTGTTTAAGTGACTAACAATGAAACACTGTATATCAGTGACGGCGAACCTTTTAGAGCTTTCAATGATACAAACCCGGTGTGGCACACATGCCATCGGTTCACCACCACTGTTATAAATCAATGTAGTCTTTTACGCATCGCTTATATTATAATGCCACTTACAGAAATTTAAACATGAAATAAGGACTGATCTGAGTTATCCTTGCAATACGTACTCCCTTTTAAGGAGGTTCCAACTAGGATGTCTTTAGACATTAAGTCAATGGATTGACTGTACCTTTGAGAACCCCAAATTCCTCATTTCCCTGCAGTTCTGCCAGGATGGAATCAAGAGCACCACACCCTCCCAGACTGTCTCAGCATTTCTAGGGAACCTTCCTGGAGGCTCAGCACTCAGTAAGTGGGAGGAGGCTGGTCCTGGGCAAACCCATGTCGGGAGGAGCACGGGTTTCTCTCAGAAAGCCTCCATGGTGAGAACCAGGAGTGGGCAGCTGGGCTCACAGACTGCATGAGGACAGCGCACACAAATGCAGCTGGTGTCTGGACCCTCAGAGATGCAGACAGGACTGGTGAACCCCAAGGTGTGGGTAGAGAGGAGGGGGATGCCCAATGCAGGTCCTCAGAGCAGGGACAAATAGCAGAGTCTCTGGTGGTCAGTGGGAGACAGACCTAGCACCATCCCAGCGTGTACCACCCAGCAGCCTGTGACTCCACAGGGAGCTGCCCTCTGAGTGATACTCTGCTCTTCCCACACACCTTACCTCCACAGGTGGGCTCAGAATTGCTGCCCACTGTACCCATAGGCCTCCGGGGGGAGACAGGTGAGCTGCACACATGAGATGGAAGTGTCCTGAAAGCTTGGATCTTGGGGTGAACTGACACTTACTTGTTCCCATGGAAACTTCATCAGCCCATGGGGGCTAAGTCACCCTTCACTGGCATTTCTAAGTCCCCCCTTCCACTCCAGAGCAAGAAGGTATAAGTTAGGTAGAAGGGAACTGACATTTTTTTTTGCACATTTGAGGAATAAATAGATAGATAGGTAGATAGATGGATAGATCAGCCCCTTATATTATCACACATTCTTTGGAAAATGTTGGCAATCCTAAAACAAATAGAAAGCTGTAGAATTGCTCAAAAGCCAATGTGCCCTAGAAGGAACTGACACCTTGTCAGGAGAAAAGTAAGCAGAGAATTTTAGAAACTTCACACTAATGTGACCTTATCATACCTGCCAATCTCTTTCCTCCATCTGAACCAGAGGAAGCCACCTTTCTTTTAGGTCTAACCTAAATGCCTCTTCTAAGGAGCCTCCGCTTTCCCCCTCCTCCCCAGTCAGCTCATCTGCCCCACTTGGATCTGGGTCTGACCTCCCATGGTGCCTGTGGCTATGAATCATAGGCTCTGCCTCCCCTGAGTCTCATTATACCTGACTAGATGAGTGATGAACATTCGTAAGGCATCTCCTAGTGAAATAATGGAAGGCTTCCTATTTTAAACCCTGGATGTCAATGGCCCAAGAATAAAGTTTCTGTTCAAGGCAGATTTAAGAATCTTTGAGTGGTAAGTATTCAAGATTAGCATAATTTTTTTAAGAAGCAGTTATGGTCAAAATCATGGTGGGGCATGCAAACTAACCCAGTGTATTCTTGAGGGAATAACACATCCTAGCAACCAAAGATCAATGTGAATAAATTTCTAATGCATTTGGAAAAGCAAGTGAGTCAGAGACAATCCTGGTAATGTCAACAGCAGGTTACCTGCTATCTAAAGTCTCTTTTCACATTATTCAGTAAACTGCCATGCAGTGATAGATCTGCCACACAGCAAAGCAGAATTCAGGGTGAGACCTGGTCAGTCAACCTGGAAACAGTATTTAAGATCTCCTACTTCTAGAGCACCACAAACAGTGGTTCCAGAAGGTACGTACCCGTGGGATTTCTGAGCGTGTCCTCCGGGCCACCATGAGCAATAGCTGCTGTTGAAGGGCGCTGACTGCAGGGTCCCCGGAGGATGGGTCTGGACTCTCACAAGTGCTAGTGCTGGAGGAGCTGAGGTGCACCTCTCTGTGGATGAACAAAGAGAATTCTGGTTACCTGCAAGTGCCAGAAGCACCTATGCAAAATACACACACACACACACACACACACACACACACACACACGTACCAGGGATGTGCAGCACCTCTTCTAAAACAGCAGAGGGAGGGAGATACACCTGGAGGAATGCTTTTCAGAACTGCAATATGTCATACTTAGCACTTCTGGTTTCATCATCTGTTCTCTGGTTAGTCTCTGGTACTAGTTTGGTTCAGCATGACAGCAGAGATAAATTTTATAGTAACTAGATTTTGCTTAGAACAGTAAAAGAAGTGGTGATTAATGGTGAAGGCTATGAAGAGCCGCCCCTGGGAGGGAATGGAAAGTGTGGTCAGGAGTCGAGGCTGGGCCAGGATGGTGCACTTTCTTAGGGACAGAGCTGGGCCCCAGATTGACCTTGGTGATACTGAACCCTGCTGGACACCCACTGTTTTCATCCATCTGAGCTGCTACAGGGAACGAGCAATGAAAATACATGTGCTATATCTCCACTTTCCCATTGACAGGGAAAAATCTCCTGAGATTCTTCACCTTCTGCAGATTTAAACACAACAATCTGCTGCCCCCTTTCCCCTGCCTGGCCCACAACCTGTGTTCCTGGTTCACTGGGAGCCATGGACACTAGGGCCACAGAGGGTCAGCTGAGAAATGGAGTCAGTGTGCCACACTCATTACAAAAAGCATATATATAAAGCAGCCCTGTCCTGCAAATTGCAGAATTCCACCAGAGCTTGGCTTAAAGCTGCAAGCACCTCTCCTCTCTGTGATAGCAGGATTTGGGTAAGTGTCTGAGGAAGGCAGAGGCAGGCAGCCTGCAGCATGAGTGCTGACTGCCCCCGTGTGGCTGCTATGCTGCACCGCAGGCTGGGAGCCCTCTGCGCCCTGGCCTCCACCCTCAAGGACTAAAATCCTTCTAGAATTGACCTTTCTTTCCTCCCTGTTTATCTCCCTTCCTGTAAACCTTCTGACCTGGGCCTGGCTGAAAGTGTAATCTCCTCTCAATGCATCCACAAAACCAGAATAAAAATGAGGGGAAGAAACACAGGGTAAAGGCTGAGAAGCAAAAGACAGCAAGCAGAGGAATATGGGAGGGCAGAAGTCACTCAAAACCAGACACCGAGCACCATCTGTTCCCACCTCTACATGAGACCCCCTAATGTAGAGACCCCCTCGAAGTCTTTTTAAATTTGAAGCAGCAAATATATATCTCTCTACTTCCCAAATTAACAGCTATATGCATGATCTCAGATATTTGTAATTAGAGCTGAGACCACACTCAAATGGACACGTAATCTGGCATGTCTGACACTGAAAGGCCTCAACATTCTGCTCTGTTTTCTGCACATCTAAATAACTCACTGTATGGCCAGCATCCTTCTCAGCCACTCCAAACAAGGACTCACCATTTCTTCTGAATAAAGTAAAACAGTTCAAATTGAGAGGGTGAGTTCTTCCAACCTCTTGCCTTCTTCCATTCTTTGGGAGCCAGGTTCACACTTACACACTGTGGCCCATGTTCTTCTAGTTAGTCTCAATAAGCAAGGGCGCTTTTACTGAGGCAAGGGCCAAGGAAGCTGAAGATGTCAACAAAAGTGTAAGGATTTGGCGATGAAGATTAAATACAGGACCTCAATCTACCTTTCGGGAATGATGCAAAAGGAGTCTAGAGACTTAGGACAGATTCCAAAAATAAACCTAATTTATAAGCTGAATAATATCTACTTCAATATGTGCTACACTGATTATCAAGCAAATAAGATCTGGAAATAAGTAAATTCAAACAAATGTACAAAAATGTCCCATAAAAGTCCTGTAAATACATTTGCTCCAGGATGACTCTTCCATTCAGTCACACATAGCTCTTTTATGTGTTCATCACCATCAAAGTGAGTGTGAATACCACATCTTTCCAGCAGATTGCACTGCAAACAGATGATGTGTCACATGCATTTGCTTATGACATGAGGAAAGCCGCATTACTAAATATACAGATCATTTAAAGATGAAATATATATTACTTTGAAGAATTTTTAGACCAAAAGTAGAAATATTTGCTGAATAAAGAACAGAAACTATTAAACTTTCATTGCAAGACCTGCACAGGAGCATCAAAAATCTACAATGCAATGAACCCTTTCAACCCACAGTACACTTTAACTTTCCTGGCAGCTCCACCTTCGACTTGTTAGGTAGACAGCCTGCTTTAACTTCAGCTTTCTGGATGGATCAGCTCATTTCAGTCTCTGAGCACTGAATTAGTCCTGTGTTCTGGGTAATAAAACACTGCAGTGGAATTTATCTTCTGGCAGTCTGTCCAAGTCGCAATGCTAACTGCTGCAATTCAAGCCACAGCCCACTCCTTGTCTCTGAGGAAAGCAGAGTGTGTTAGATAAAGTTACTAAGGTACCTGCTTTATGGATAGTTATTGCACAGCCAGAAAGCACTTCTCCACGTCTCTGGCAGCCAGTGAGAGGGGCACTGGTTCCCACAACGACAGTGGGGCTGAGGAGGGAAATGAGCTTCCTCTCCTGACTTCCTTCAGGAATTCCCAAAGAGATATGGAAGTTACATTGGTAACAATTCTCTATTCATACTTGGAAGTCAGAGACATAAAACTGTCACATAGAAACAAGGTTTAACAATAACTAGGAGATATAGCCTTCTTGCCAATAATAAGAGTCAGTGGTTTAATGGCCTAGTTGGAGGCAATCCCAGCCACTGAGGTCACTTTACGGGGAAAAGGCTGCTTTTCCAGTACTTTCCATTCCTGAATGGCTAGAAAGAGCCCCAACCAAGGATCCTTCCACATTCAAAATCAAATTTTATGTACACAATGATGGAAGAACTCAAAATTTAATGGCACTAAGAGCCAGGGTCATAATATTAAAATGCCTGCTCTAAAATCACCATAGGTGCCAAGATGTTGGGCCACAACAGGTAGAAAAGGAGAACAAAAGTACTTTCCCACCTTCCATATCTTATAAAGCAATCCATAAAAGCACTATGGGAAAGATTTCCTCTTGGCCAAAATCCAGTATCCTTTGTTAAGTAAAGTCACAGTGAACTCTGGCCACTGTCCTCCACTTCTGTCTAAAGACATTGGCAACAGGTGGCATTGGTTACAAGCGCTGTCATAAGCATTAAATGTGTTACTACACCTAATCTTTAAAGCCACCCAGCAGATGAAATGGGAAGATTTCCTCTCTATTGATCCATTAAGAAACATGGTTGCTGGGCATGGTGGCACACACCTGTAATCCCAGCACTTGGGAGGCTGAGGCAAGAGAATTGCTGAGAGCTTCTCAAAAAAAATAGTGAGAGCTTGTCTCAAAAAAACAAGAAAAAAGAAAAAGAAAGAGAGAAAAAGAAAGAGAGAGAGAGAAAGAAAAGAAAAGAAAAAGGAAAGAAAAGAAATTTATGGTTAAGACAGTTGCACAATGTCAAAAAAAATAACTGCAAGTGTTGGATTTGAACACAGATTTGCTCAAGACAAAATTCTTGTTTGCATCGAGAGAAGGCAGATTTCTCCAATTTCAAGCCAGTCTGTTGCTTGATGCCAGGTTTCCTCCCACCATCAGCTTTCATGTGGACAGAGAGGTGTTTCATTAACACAACGGAGGACTGGAAGACCTAATGAGTCTTTACCTCTGAGTCCCATGTACAGGGTTTAAAGAAAGCCATTCTGAAAATTTCTCTCTGCTCTAGTTTCCCTCTGGGCCCTCCAGCCACTGAAAGGCGAGGAAGGCATTTGCTGAGGTCCTCTTGATGATCCCATACTCATCAGAGTGTCACCTTCTGCTGATAGGCTGGAGCACTTGCCATTCAGAAAATAAAGGGTGACATCCCCCACCAGGACCCATGGCCCCTGACCCCACATCACTGGCCCTGGACAGTTTTTTGTGCTGTCCTCCAATGTTCAGCTGGTCTTAGCATGATCTACAACTCCAATTGGTCACCTGTGTCACTCCTCATTTGATTTAAGTCACTATTCATTGCACACCTGTGTGGAGAGAGCTAAGAGAGCTGTAAAGACACCCTGGTCATGGTCACTTTTCAGTAGACTAGCACAACCTAGAAGAAGACATGGGAACCTTACACAAATTAATGACACGGCAGGGAGAATGTGGTCAGTCTCTTCTAGAAGCAATCTGAAGAGACAGGTTTATTTGATAGATTTATTTTCACAGTGTAGGCCTAAAAGAGACAAACTGTAATTTGAGCTTTGAAAGATGAGAATCTCAAAAGGGAGAAGTAGGTGGAGCCTGCAGTGGGCATCACCTAAAGGCATATCAATATTGATATCATATGCATCAGCAACAAGGGCTGAGAGTGAGCAGGGTCTCCCCAGGAGGCATGGGGCTGGGGTGTGACAAGGACCCCACAGTAGGAGTTAACAACAGGCAGGCCACAAGCCACAGCCAGCAACACACATGGGATCTGTGGTCTACAGTATTTCAGAGTTTAAAATCTGCCTGGTGTTGCACATCTGTAATCCCAGTACTTTGAAAGGCTGAGGCAGGAGGACTGTAAGTTTTAAAATTAACATTAAATTAAAAAAAAAATTTTACAAACAAATGTGAATTCCAAGCTCCTAGTGGGAAAAAAAAAAACAAAAAAAACCCTGGTCACCCCAGGCTTATGCAGCCATCCAGAGATAGAATAAATGCCCTCTTGTCACTTCAGTACCATTCCACACTGGCCCTGCGGGCTTGATTCACATGACCTCGTGACCCTACTGTGGGGAGAGGCAGGAAGGGGGTTCACATGTCCACCAGCCACTTATGTCAAGTGTTACAGCCACTAGCCACATGATGTCAAGCACCTTTCTTTTTTGTTGTTGTTTTTTTAGTTTTTTCGTTTTTTGGGTTTTTTTGGTACCGGGGATCAAACTCAGGACCTTGTACTTTCAAGGCAGGCATGGTGCCACTGAGCTAAATTCCCGGCCCTCAAGCACCTTTCTTAATCAGCCTCTGTTTCCTCTTCTGTAAAATGAAGCTAATATCCCCAACCTCACTGGATACTCTAAGATCCAGCACAGTGCTTAGCACAGAAGTGCTTAATAAATGGCACTGCTGCCACCAGAGACCACCCCCTGGGTCTGGGCCACAAGCTTCCATGATATTCTGCACAAAAGAACCAAGACACACCCAACCCTAACCCTAACCTTTCTGTGTGGCAAAACCTGTCTTGCTGGTATTGGGCTCATCAGGCTGTGAGGTCATTCTATATCTCCAGAATTAGAGATAATGACAAGCTGCTAACACTCCCCACCCCACATATATACACATGCATTCCCACACATACACACATATATACACACATACATATAACATACATAAACCCACACATACATGCACACACACTGGTAAGTTAATACAGGCATTAAAAATACTTAAATTGACCGGGGATTTAGCTCAGTGGTTCCACCGCCTGCCTTGCAAGCAGAAGAACCTGAGTTTGATCCCCGGTACAAAAACCAAACCAAACAACAACAAAAAAATACTTAAATTGAACCAGCTTATTTTTCTCCTATTTCCCAGAAACTTTTCTTTCATGCAATCAGGTCAAAGATACTCATGTCATGGATCATTCTGAAGAGTGATTTTGGCTTCTAACATCAAGTTCTTCTCAGGGCAAAGTTGAGGACTCTCCAGCACCTGTCTTTCAGCAGAACCTCAATGCACTTTCTAGGCCACAGTGCTATTTGTGGTAGAGGCCTCATAAAGATGTGCTACAGAATTCAGCAATGCAGACAGCTAGAATGTGTTGGGCGTGGAGTTGGATGTAGGTCCAAGAGTGGAGTGCACTGGTAAAATCACAGTGCTCTAGCTGCTTTCTCTGAGAAGGAACTGCACTTTTTATCATAAAATTCCATTGACTTGCATGGGAGAGTTGGCGCTAGAAGAATACTTGTAGGAAAGAGTGGTGCCGCCACCTGTCTCGCAAGCACAAGGTCCTGAGTTCGATCCCCGGTACCAAAACAAAAGAGACTCAAGTCACCATCACATCATGGGCTCCCCAAAGCCAAAGCTTATTGCCAACCCATGGGCATAAGCCTGCTCTGACTGGTGCCCAGAGTAGAGGAGGAGTCTGAGGCCACAGGAGCACCCACTAGGTACATGGTTCACTGCCCCGCACAGGCTGAGTCCCTGCTCCTGAGCATGAACTGAGCAGATGGCAGCACCATTACTGCTTCTCCAGGATCAAGAACAGCCTTGGCACTGTAATTTTGCTAAGGGAAGGGCCTGGGTTTGTGCTTCTGCATCAGACAGGAAGCCCTGTGCACCTGTCACGCTCCAGTGAGTCACAAGAGTACGAAGACACCCAGTTTTAAGGTCCCAATCTTAAGGACTAACTTATTCAAAGACCAAACAGTGTACAGAGCATTACATTCCCAAATAACATTCCACACAAAGAACAGCAAACACAGGTGTTAGTTTACCTTATACTGGAAGCACTGAAAGGGAAGCCATGCATGACAATGGGCCTCTCCTTCCCAGAAACTGTAAGACCAAGACCCCCAACACCTGGGAAAGTGCAGGTGGTCTAAGACCCAGAACTCGGTACTGCGGATGGTGGACCACAACCTCATCTATGAGTCATTCACACACCAGAAATGCTAAAGCAGCCTAGGGACATAATGTCTTTCTGTAAGAGGAAAACTGCTTTTACACATTTGAACATTTTCCTCCTGAAAAAGCTCAGTAATTAATTGAGTTATAAATTTTACCAGAATCAGAGTCTTCCGGGTCACCTGATAACCTGTGCTGCCTGGTACCTATCCTCCCACCCTAGGTGCCCTGTGGAGGGCTACGCAACTCATCCTCCAAGGGAACCCACTATCCAACCCTGGGTCCATAAGTAGGCCCAAGCCAGTGACTGGCCTCAAGGGACATGCTTTGGTCAGAACCAGACACAGTGAGACTTTATTGGGTGGGATTCATGGGAAAGAAGCTTGTTTCCTGCTGGACTGAATGAGAGATCACAGGGTGACAACAATACCTGGTGATGAGCAGGGTGAAGTGTTTGAGAGTGCTGTTTAAACAGGGGAATAGGAGAGCCACAGAGAGAGCAAAACCACACCCTGGAGCCTTCACAGGAATGCCTTGATCCACACACTCTTGAAGACAGATCAAGAAGACTTCTCAGTAACATAACCTGACAATTATATGATTACACCTGCTGGAGGTGACAGCTACTCATGTGCAACAGAAAGGGGCCCAACTAGGAGAGGACCCAATTCTCTGAGACTCTGTCCTAGGCCATGGGACCTGGTAGGAAGCTCACCAGAAACACAGAAGCTCTCTTCCAGCACCTGGTACATCTGTCTCAACCTCACCTGCCAGAGTCCTTCCACCCAGACCAAGGCACTGTGCAACCGATGACCAGCAGCCCTGGGAAGAGGGGCAAGGGAAATGGAAAAGGCTCTGATTGGGAAAGGAAATGCACAGGAAATGAAATTAAGCAAGAAGTGGGGAAATTCAGTGCCAAGAGAGAAATTAAGGGGAGAAAGTAGTTAACAGGTGCCACTCAGGGAGACATAGTCTAAGGAAATGGGGATACTGAGAATCCTGCAGCTTCTCTCTCTAATTCCTGTCTGCATACTCTATAGTTTTAGTTATTTTACGGCTCTGGATATGTGGCTTTATTCTAACTGGCATTACTCAGTTACTCAGTAGCATCACTCAGTAGATTCAGCTAAATCACTTACCTAGGGAAAAAGTGAAGTATATTCATCCAGAAAGTAAAAAACAGAACTAAAAGCAACTTTCCTTTGGGACATAATATAAGGCTTCTGTCTGTTCTAAATTTAGCTGAGGAACACCTCAACCTGGAGCTGGGAAGTGCTCAAAGCTGTGTTCTCACGCAGTTAAATCTTTTGTCTGAGAAAGCTGATATCTTAAGACAACTGAACTCATCAACCCATCATAGTGAACATGCTAGAGGCAGGCACTGAGATGCAGACGCAAACCTCCACCTCCTCTTGGGTCTCCATTTGAGTAGGGCCTTGCTGGAGGAGTCTGACCTGGTGTATGGGTATCCAAGAGACACAAAGGAAGAGTGGAGGGCCAGCAGGACATAAAGAATGTGCACTGTCCAAAAGGACACATTTGGGTGCTCTGCCCTGCTTTAGAGCAGAGCCAGGAGGGTCTGGGTGTCCAAGAAACCTACAGGAGCAGCAGACACAGGCAGTGAGGAGCCACAGTGCTGTTAATGTGAGAGCATTCTGGAGGCTGCCATGTGACAAGGACAAGGGCAGCTTCCATCCCACGCTCACCGTAGACTCCCCCTGGAATTTCCATACACCTCTGGAAGGACTCTGAACTTGGAAGGAACATGGACCACAGGATCTTATGTTCCTGAAACTCCCTTTATACTCTCTAGGTAGGAAGGCTAAGTCAGTCTTACCACACAAGTCTCCCATAAACCTCAAACATGCATAGATTTCTAATGAGCTATACATGAAACTCAACCTCCACACTTAGAGCCAGCAACTGAGAAACACCCACAGGCACTATCCACACAGAATCTCAGAACCTGGGATGAACAATAGATTCAGTCCACCACTGGCCAGCTCCTGTTGGGCCAGTGGACTGTGAAGCTGTGTATGTACATTCTGGATGTGCACACCAATTTAATACCAATTCAACTCACATAATTAAGATGACTATTTGATGCATTCTGAGGTAAAATGGAAAAGATGTCTAAATCATCGATCTACAAAACAGCTTGCCTGCTTTGGTGTGAATGAGAAAACTACATTTCCAAAGAGCTCCTAGGGAAGACTCAGAAATGTGCCCTGGAGCTGCACGATCATTTTTCTTGCAGAGAGCATTGCTATGTTTTCCTTGGACTGCTCCCTATTTACACTGCACCTTATATTCATTTTGGGAAGTGGCAACAATGAAAATGGTTCCATTTATTTTTCATTGTTCTATAATGTCAGATTTTCTTGCACAAAAAATCAGATTGACCCATAAACAGATTAACTTGTTCTTTCTACACCAGGCCCCACACTTTATTTTCACAGTAATGTGTGTATCCTCATTCAATGCCACAGTTCCCATGTGGAAAGCAAAGCTTCACTCACCTGGCCTGGGAGGCACAGTCCTCATTTGAGACAGGATGCTGGAAGGAGCCTTCTTTCTGATTTCCCGACTTTAAGTAACAGGACCTAATTTCCCCTGCAAAATCACAAAATTTCTGTAAAGTATATTACACAGTTGTTTGTATATTAGTTATTCATCCTACACTATTTTCAACTTAAAGGGAGCTCAGTTGGGCTGTGTAAGTAATAACTGTTGACACGCTAGGTCCATTGTTTAGATTTCTCCACAGAACATGTATTATCAAGAGAAAGTGAACAATGTATAAAAGGAATTTTATTAAGAAAAATTTTCTTTATTTTTTTTTTTGGTACCAGGGATCAAACTCGGGACCTTGTGCTTGCGAGGCAGGTGGCAGAACAATTGAGTTAAATCCCTGGCCTCCAAGAAAAATTCTTTGACATCCCTCCCTGGCAATATACTTAGAAAAGTTTTGACTCTTTGCTTAGTACTTAATTGCTTTTAATCAACTTATTTGTATCATCTCTTAATTCATTTTTCATAAATTCCATTCACGTGTCAGCATGATCTGTGCTAGGCTGCAACTGGGTGTTTTCCTGCATTGCATACACATGAGTATTATGTAGAGAGGTTTATTAAGCATGCAGTTTTGATTGGTGGAGCTCCTGAGACCACTGCAGGAGCAAGTGCTGCAGCTCCAGTATGCAGATGAGCAAGCGCTGTAGCAGCTGACTGGGTGTCAGTCTGTTAATAAGGAAAAGCAAGGGGCAGAATTTATTTACAAAGTTGATTAGCTCTGCTAGAGGGTTTGGGGTACTGAGGTGTGAAATCAGCTCCCATCCTAATGCAAATGGTTTCTCCCCAGAGTTCTCCAGCTCCTTCCTCAAATGGCTCAGGAAGCTTTATTAACCCATCTGCTGTGAGCACCTGGAAGGTGGCAAGGCAAGTAAGGGCAACCTGCCCCTCTCTGGGCTTTGACAGAAGTGCCAGTGTTGCTCTTTGTCAAAGACTGTTATGTCTCTGTATTTCTACAGAAACACAGGCACTTAAGACTAAAAATGACTGGGCTACAAACCAGGACGACCTTGAGAGCAAAATAACAACTATTACTTGATTTATAAAGAGACTTTAGCAAAGACTTATTCTAGAAAAACTAGAACCTATAACCTTTATTTTGGGGACTCTGAACTTGCTGCTTAATGATTCTCAATGTACAGTATTTTAAATCATGGGTGTCCAACCTTTGGGTTGGATTAAGAGGATTGTTTTGGGCCACTTTAAAATATACAACTGGTTAATGTATACAAGCAACAAAACTTCCTTTTCTTCATTTTAGCTTATTAACATATTTTACAAAATAACCCAACAAGTCCAAGTTTAACAATTAAATAGGAAAATTTACATGTCTGCATAGTAACGATAAACACCTGTCTTCACAGGCACACACATGTAGGTAGGTTGAAATACTATTATGAATAATCACATCATTGTGCTCTGCAAGTCGCACCGGCGCATGTCACATCTGATGTGTGTGGGTCTAGACTCGACCATGTATGGTGGGTGCAGGGTAAGAGTTAGCACCGCACTGGGCCTCCTCTGCTTAGTGATCCGCTGTCACCTACAAAGTCCAAAGCCAAGCACCTTGCAATGGAGTCATGAAAAATACCAATAAAAATCACATAATAATTAAATGTTTATGATCTTGAGGGGCCATTTGTGGCCTGTGGGCTGTGGGTGGGATATACCTATTTTAAATCCTTTTTATAAGATGGTGCTGATAAAATCTATCAAGGGTCAACATTCAACATATATCAAATAAATATTTACTTGCTACTGGGCACCATTGTCCTGAAGTTTACAGTTGCAAGGAAGAAAATTTCGTTAGTTAAATTATAAATGGTTAATTAATTATAGGCTATAATATCATCAAATAAGAAAAGAACAGGGTGTTCAGGGCACAAAAATCAGATGTACCTCATTAAGTCTGAAAAACTTACCTTAGAACTAAGACGTGAAAGATAAATAGCACATGGCAGGCCTCAGGAACATAGTACATGCAAAGGGCCTAAGGAACAAAGAAGCACACTTTTCCCAAGAACAGTAAGCAAAACCACAGGATTTTGCCTGTTCCAACAGCTACCATGTTTCCCTGAAAAGAAGACCTAACTGGAAAATAAACCCTAGCATGATTTTTCAGGATGCTTATATTATAAGCCCTACCCCCAAAATAAGTCCCAATTAAGATCATCAACCAGGTGGACGCATTTGGTATGTCCATTGCAACACAAGATGCATGTATTAAATTATAAAATAATGCTATTAATATATAATTAAATATAAATAAATATTATTGATGTTAATACTTAAAATATATGATAATTTAAATAATAATTAAATATTTGTAAATACCCAAGCAGGCACCTTTGGATGAGGAGTAAATTCCTGTGTAAACAGATGAAAAGACACTGCCAAATGCTCAATTGGAGTATAGATACAATGCACAAATAACATGTACACTTGAAAACAAACAGATCTAGTTGTGTCTAACATGACTCTTCATAATTCAATACATTGTATTGTAATGGACACACTTATTCAACTCATATGAAATGAAGAAACACTTTCTGAATTTGTGGAGCCTGCAATTTTTCATCACTTTGGTGTGGACCATCATTCTTAACTATCATCATTTTTGTTGCCACTCATCTTGTAAGTCTTTAATTAACCCTTGATTTAATGGAAACTTTGTGAAGCCTAGCCTGCAAGAGGTCTTGAGTTGGATGAAGAACTCATGGGATAAAATCACTGACAGCTGTGCTGCTAATGCACTATGAGCTGGCTACATGGACAAGAAGTGCTCATTTAAGGACAGCTCTGTTGCTGGACATGAGAGATTGGGGTCAATGGTTCTACAGGACACTAAGTCACTAGAAATTTGGGCCAGAATTCAGGGTTTAGAGAGTTATGATGATGTTCTAGAAGATGACACGATTCTGTATGAAAATAAGACATCCCCTGAAAATAAGCCCTATTGAATCTTTTGGGGCAAAAATTAACATAAGTCCTGGTCTTATTTTCATAGAAATACAGTAGTGCTCAGGCTGAGTCTGTGCTTTTGCTTATTAACAAACCATTCTACAACTCACCATGTTCATCGATGAAAACATGCATTGCATCCACAGAGATCTCCTCCTGCACAGAGGTTTCTGGCCCGCTGATGACTTGCAAGACAGAACTGTCTTGTTGGGAAGTTACCCTGTAGATTATTTGTCTTTGTCTATTGCCCTGGAAACTTAACACATATAAAAGTTTCAAAAACAATTAGGAATTCTTCCTTATGTTCAATAAAGCATTAAAAGCAGCAGCCAGTGAATGAGGCTGCTTTGCAGCAATGCAAGCTCAGTAGCTAAGTTACCCTTACAGCGCTGCGGCCTTGGCAGGTGGGGTGAACACGGGGCTGGTGCCAGCGTGGTCTTGACTTTGCAAGTCTGATTTTTCTGGCTTGGAATCCTCTCCAGTGAGTGTTTTCTTCTCCAGGATTTCCTCCTTTTTCCCTTGTGAGTAATGATCTGAAAAACATTGCTTTATGTGTTAATGTAGTATAAAAAACAAAATTAATGTGAGAGCTCCTAGAAATAAGCTAGCAAAACTGAAAAAAGAACAGAAAGAAAATCTAAATAGCTCCTCTGAATTTGAATAGAAATTTGTACTTTTGAGATAAGTTATTTTGGTGCCCAGAAATACCACCTAGTTTACATACAGATTCAGGGACTCTCTTGACTAACTCTGTGGCATAGACAGACCTGACTGGAAACTACCCATTCATAGTACACAGGCCTAAAAGGTTTGTGACTTATGAATGGACAGCTTCAGGTGAAAGAAGTTACATAACATGTCTGGCTGTTTGCAGCAAGGTCCCACTTTTCATTTTAAAAACTTATTCCTTCTTCTTACTCATTCTCCAAATCTAAACCACAAGCTGAAGCTACAGTTGATTCCTTATGCCCCTTATACATAACTGACTTTGAACTACATCCCCAGCCTGAAGCAGCCATGGTTAGACCCAGCATCCACTCCTGCCCTGAGAATACTTTCAAGTGAATGTGAAATCCATATTCAATGGGTACAGATTGGGGTTTTTGCTTTCTAGAGTCTTTACACAATGGACCAGAATAAGATTTTAGCTCTCACCAATACACAAAATGGAATACGTCCCTGCAGGTCAAAACCTGCTTGTCTGTGGACACCCCAACAGCTACAATTAAGGGCAAAATGATCATGGTCTTCCCATGACCAAAGCTACTAACTGTCAGCTCTGAGGCTGAGGGGTATGAAGTCACAGGCTCTTCTAAGCCACACCATCAGACCTGCCAACCTCTCACAGAGAAAAATCCTGAGATGCATCTGTAGGTACAAATTATATCACTACAGATCCTGAGTCCTAAGAATCTCCCAGAGGAGATTGCTGGTTACTGTGTGTGCCTTGAAGATCAGCATTCCCTGCACATCCAAAACACCATCAGGATGTCTTTGGCACAAAAATGTTTGCATTTCATCTGACAGCTTGTCAGAAATGTAGCTCTCAGAGTTGTTGAGCCCTACATTTGTGAGGAAGTACTATCACAACAAATGCCTGTGGCCAGCATTTGGCCACATAAAAATCGCAGGCAAGCCCATGAAGCCAGGGCCCCTGCACACTGTGGGACTAGGATCCATCTGTTCAGCTCTGTCATATCCCAATCTCTCCTCCCTTACATGCATGCACTGCACAGGTCCACAGAAGGAATATTTCTTCCTTTTTCCCTTAAAAATTAAAGGAATATTTCTGTTTATAAAAACAGTATACCTTCATCACATATAATTTAAAACTGGAGAAATTTTTAAAAATTAAATCACTCTTTTTTTTCACTTTCTTTTTCTTTTCTTTTTTTTTATTAAATTCTTTTATTGGTACATTGTAGATATACAACACAATAACATTTCTCATTGGGAATTGTACCTTTACATGATGCACCTTGGTTCTTATTTTTTCCCCATTCCTAGCCCTCCCTTCGCCCCCTCCAACCTTCCTTATTTACAAAGACTTTATTTCCATTTCTCATCATTTTTCCTTTCCCTTCTTTCCTTTCCCCTGCCCCTCCCACTACCCCTACCCC